AAAACAGGAGCCGACAACATTGTCAAACTTGAAAATGTTGCGTTCCAATATGAAGACGGTAAACTTACTCAGGCTACCATTACCCTTGACCATTTCAAGCATTCTCAAGGCAACATAGCAAAAATAATACTTAGTTGTTCCAAATCAAAGTCACTTTGTCCGGTTAGGACATTATCTAAATATGTTAAAGCTCTTAGCATACGCAAAGGCCCACTTTTTTGTTTCAAAAGTGGTGCTCCAGTAAACTCATCCTTTTTCCGACGTATCCTAGGGTTATGTATCAGGCAATGTCAATTAGACCCACGCAAATACACCACACACTCTTTCCGTATAGGTAGTGCAACCCTAGCATATGACCGTCATTTTTCCAATGCGCAAATCCAGCAATTGGGAAGATGGTCGTCTCAAGCATTTACAAAATATTTAAGGCCAAGTCTTAATCGTAGTTTGGTAACTTAGACTTATCATGAACAAAAAGCATATCACCTGGAATAGTCAGGCACCCAATTTCCTCCCTGACTGTCTGAGGCAGCAAGGTTTTGTTTCTACTGTCTGAAGCAGAGAAGCAGTTACTCATACTGAGTACTTGACCGTCTGAGGCGGCAAAATTACATAGAGATACTTGACCGCTTGCGACAGCAAATACTTAATTTGGCTGTAAACCAGCACTGTTATCGCATCCGATAACCACAATATTTGCTTAACATTTGCTTTTTTATTTGTATACTTGTTGTTTAAATTACTTGTAAAATAACAAGTTCTTCACACCTGTCATAATATTCCCACCTGCCAGTTCAATACAGAAGCTAGTCTGACTGAGGCAGCGTGCTCCAAGTATTAAGGGTTATAGAATGTTTCAACATTGCTTTTTATTTGTATATTCGTTGTTTTAATTTACTTGTAAATAATCATGTTCATTCACCTGTCATATTATTCACCTGTCAGTTCATATGTGATCATGCAATACAGGAGCTCGTCTGACTGAGGCAGCGAGCTCCAAAGCTTGTTAAATATCAATGTTCCACATTAGGTAACTTCAATTATTTGACATCTTAGCTCGACTGACTGAGGCAGTGAGCTAAACATAGATACTTTTAATTTTTTCAGTTTATTCTGGAAATACATTGTTGTTCATACTCTTAAAAAACCATGTTAACTTGTTATATATAGATGTACATTTGGTGTTTGTGTTTCTCTGGGATCTATAGTCTAGATATGTGTTAAACCTTACTCTTGTGATTCTTGTACAAGTTTTTTAATTCAGGTTCATACAGAAATGTAAGATTACATTGTAAGCTAACATACTTCCTTTTAATTAATTCACTTTGAGCATCTCACTTTCGGTCCCTGTGTACTTGGGCGGCAGACCAGGTCTCCTGTTCTTTTGTGGCGGTTTTCGTCGCGAAGATATTGAAAAATATGTTATATGTAGTTATTTGATTAAACTTTCATGGCAAATAAATTAATTTTCCATAGTTATATGTTTAAACATTCAAGGCAAATAAATAAATTTGCCCTTTTTCAATTTATAACCTTGTTAATTTTCCCATACGTAGTACACAGGGCCGAAGTTTGGTCGTAAAACAGATGAGATAAAAGTACTATACTTTAGACAGAATTCCATAAAAAAATCAACGTGTACCGCATTTGTATTTTAACAATATAAACTTTAAATAATTTTTGACTGAAATAATGTTAATCTGCTTTTTTAATCAAAATATACATTAAATGTTTTCTAAACTTAATTAAATTGCTGCTTTTAAACTTTGATTATAAGAAATGCCTTAAATCAATATACTGTACTTGTGAATTTGTTGTAATGTGCCGAATCGCAGCCTGTCACTGTAATAACATAATCATTGTTGACAATAGGCACTCCACATTCCTCAACGACAATGATTGTTTATCAAATTATATGATTTAACCTGAAATTAAATAAACTTTTCCATGGGAATTTTAAATATAATGATTTGTTTTTACTTATAAACAATATTTAAGTGATTTTTTAGTTATTTTTTTTATTGCTGATGTGATGTCGTCAGATGATTCCAAATCTGTGGAAAATATAACAATAGGCAGTCAGCATTTGTTGCAGTTTTTTCACAATTTTAGGTTTTTCTATCAAAAGAAAAATATGTCTTTCATTTGGTATCACTGTAGAACTGCTTGGCAGGCTGTCAGTCTAGTTTGAAAGGCTATGAACGATAACATAACGATGGTGATTTGTTTTTATCATTGAATTTATGCTTTTTAGTCTCATTAAACAATAGCTCTTTAAATTCTTAAATTATACAAAATGTATAAAATCTTTTCACACTTAGCGAGTTGTTATTCAATCTCGGTTACCATTGTTATCAACTATAAAATAAATAACAATTAATGATATATAATATATATATGCAAACGGTTTGTTTTTTCGATTTTTTATGCGAGGATCCCGAGCATTTTCCTTTTATCATATGAAAAGTGGATTTTAATTGTTGGGTTGAGTAAGTATTATTTCTTTTCCAAGAACTTTGCAATGGCGTTGTTTAAGATTGTAAACAAGGTAAAATAATCAACAAAACTAATTAAGAATTAATCTATTTACATATTTTCTGCAACTTTTATTGTCAAATAGACGGATACTTTTACTTATGAAGATAATGTTTTAAAATTTTCAAACTTTGAGAATATTTGATATATCATATATACTTCAAAGGTTGGTATATAGCATGTTAATGTATACATATTATATAACCAAACATAAAGGAACGTTCTCTTCTTTTTACACAATTGCAATTATGAACATATTGTTCAAACTTACAGATAAAATAACTGTCTTAAAGTTATACCTCGAAAGCATTAAAAACAACAAAATTACATATAAAGTGAAGACTCGGTTTGATTGAGTATGTACATAAGGGATAATGAAAATTTGTAACATTCCTGACGCCCTAAATCCGGCTTGAGCAGTAGCCCGGGTCTCCACAATACCGGTGTACATATTATATACAAGGTGTTTTCCATATAAAAGTTTGCTGACTCGAAAGAAAAAGAGGGAATAAACAACTTATTAACATTTAATCCTCTTAAAATTACAATATAGAGTTCCCTTACTCTGAAATTCTCGCTCATTGCGAATGTAAACAATGGTCGACCATTTTGTATGACGTAGTTAAACAGACTTCATGCTACCGGTGCACTGGTAAAAATGTTATTTATATGGAAAGCCATTGCAGTTTTAATAGCAAATATATCATTTTAGCATTCTTGTATTCATATCTGATAAAAAGATACTTTAAAACAACATAAAAATGTGTGTTTCAATAATTTACTGTTCATATTTTATGACTCCCAAGGGATCTCTGTTTTAGAATCTTTTCCTCCCAATTACAAGTGTATATTATACCATGTGGCTGGATTCAAAATTATTCCCTTTACTTAATTTTAGTGTTGTTAGTGTTGTTTACACAGGCTCCCTTAAAAGACTGAATGAAACTGACTTTTTAAGTTTCGCAAACTATTTTATATGCACTAATGGCTTTCCATAGATTATATTTTTCCCGCCAAAAATGATGTCAAAAGGTCAAGTGACATGTAATGGAAGTTGAATGACCTAAGCACCTGTTATTTTATATTTTTTGAAAAAAAAAAATGTTTTGTAGAGAGACCAATTTATGCAATGGAGAAATAGGATAGTAAAATAAAAATAAGGTAGGATATGTGGAATATTTCCTTCATAAATTCATGATGATGTTTAAAAACTTTGAAATAGCCAATATTACTGGGAGCATGTCAATATAAACACTCGGTAGGTGGCGTTGACAATAATATCGCCAGATATGTGAATATACCGGTACCGTTGAGTCACCGGTATCATGGGATTCGAGTATACTCAATTCTTAACACTTAAAATGTCTTGAATGACAAGACTGATCTGGTCACGTACTTGTTAACCTTGCAATATTTCGGAATTTGAAAGTGGAAATTCAGTTCAGAAATTAACTATTCGGTTTGATTTTCCACGTAGGTGACATGGATGGAATATATTGTTCATGTAACTATATCAAATTTACTTTGTTTGGAAATCAAGATTAGTACGCCTTTGTTTCTATAGAATATGCTGACAAATGACATCCGGCATGTGTTGCAGATTAACATCATGACAAGCACGTAAAGCCATGATAAAATGAGAAATTACAACTCGTACCTTTGTCTTTCTTACAATGATGAATATACATGTATAGCAAGAGAAACATGTTTTCATCCTTTTGGATACTCATTACAAATTAAGTAAACAAGTAACTGTAAATATCTTTTGCGGCAGACATTTTCAGTTACCTGGTAGTCATTGGCACATATTTGTCTTTACAAATGTTATATCTATTTACATTCTTTGTCAGGTGCAAGATTTTAGTGGCCGCGATTTTAAATTATGTTTGGGTATTTCATTTTTTAGAACACTAATAAGCTACAAAAATCCAAATTGAATATCCATGTAGGCGCTTTCGACATTAACTTTATGTATTAAATCATTCATAATTGGTCAGCGTTTCTCTTCGTCACCGGTATGTTTATTAGATGACTTCTTCAGGGAAGTCACTAATATATTTTATGATTTTCCAGAATAATGGAATAAAGAGCAATACTAGACTAATGGTAAGTTCCAGCAATATGCATGATATGGTGAAACAGATGCTTGGAACACAATATATAAATGGTATCATCCCATGCAGAATCCGATTTGTTGAAACTTTTACAGGTCATTATGTTATGTTAAGTGAATGCTTTGTATATGTGATATCTGATGGTTTATCCTGCCAATAAAAGATAAATCAACCGCTAGCAGACATGGCCAGATATAATGGTGATATAACAAATGCTGAAACGCACTTTTAAATTGTAAAGTGTGCAAGACAGGGAGTTTGGAAAACAAGGACTGCGTCTGTCACCTAGCACATAACACTTCACTGGACAAAAGTGTTTAACTAGAATAATTATGACAAAAAACACATTTGGTAAAGATTTTATTTCTTTTATTTTCAGTTGATTACTGGTGAAATTTCAAGATAGCGGCCATATCAATAACACTAGTTTTCCATTTATTAAGCAGGACATGGAACGTTTTCAGCGAACATATTATAGTAGTTTCCTGGCGGAGAGTAGTTGATCACTACATATCCCGATGATTTCCCGACACCAATTTCTAGAGAACTTTCCCATACTATTTGAGTATAATGACCTGGAAATATAAAAAAAGTTAATACAATATAAATTTTCTTATTGTTTATAACACATGTAGTCATACCATGTAGTCATATAATGACTTTCCCTTTCCAGGAATTGCAAGAATAAATATTTTCCGCATGACAAAAGAACCAACGAAGATCCTAATGAAAAATGGCATTATGCCCATCTAAGTGTAAATTTTCAGTACAAGTAAATGTTAAAATAAATTTACATTTGCCATATTTGTTTCCACTTTCATATTCTACATTTTATGGATATTTAATAACCTACGTGGCTTACGGAAATGTCTATAAATAGCCTTCAGAATGCTTCGGTTACGTTCACTTTATTAAAAGAGTAGGATATGTTTTTAGTTTTTTTGATAGCAAAAAATGAGCATTATATCATTTTAAAATTAAGTACTAATCTACGACAGGGTTAATGACAAATAGAAGTTAGAGAATATCACGACTTGGCCATGGAGTCCTCCGCGTTCTTCTTGAGTATGATTATAGTTTAATAAACAAAAGAAAATCTTCGACGTTGAATATAAAATAATTATACTCTTTGTGTTTCAGTGTAATATATTGGACACGGTCTCTTGTGAATTTCCAATAAAATGTGTTAAAGAATCTTTTTCCCCTTTGATTCATTATGAAACATCTTCATGCTATAAACAATCTGTAAACATAAATTTTTAATGACTGCTTTATATAGAAATAAAAGAATCAAGTCTTTTATGTTACAATGTATTAAACGTAAAGTTTCAATAGAATTTCAAAGTGCGCAAATATTCTACCTTAATAACTTTATTTAGAAATTTAAAATACTTAAATATAAAGACACCATACCATAATAGGCAAAGTACGACATATTAGGTTCTTCTCCGCAATATTGCTGTTGGGCATAAAAATTCGCTTCGTTTATGTACAAATTGTCAACATGATCTTGTCCTAGAGAAAAGAAAGACGCTAAAAAATTATACCTATCGTAGAACCGGAAGTGATAAGCCTTTGTCATCAATTTAAAGTCAGAATAGCCAGCATGTATATTCAGTTTGACCAATGTGCATACTTTTGGTATCTTGTTTGTATTTAACATTGCCATCTCTTAAACTTTGAATAGACTGTTGCAAATTCAAAGCTACAGAAATTCATTACACAAATTCAGCAGATTCAGGGTCATGTTATTTTTCTTCTAAATCGTATCTGTCATCAGGTGTTTTGATGCCAGGTCTTCAAGTTGAATGGAACAAAAAACAACAATATTTCATTCAGACTGAGCCTTTTTGAAATTAAAGAAAAAAATAACAGCCAAATCAATAGCTTTGCCGGGACGCAATAACATTTTATTTTCGAAACTTATATTTTTCATAACTGTATTTCACTGTAGGAAGAATTTTAAATTCATATTCATACCAGTTGCAGCAGGATTTGACATCCATGATAAATTTTCTCCGTACCCATTTGCCGAAGCATTCGGATTATGATGCCAAAGCCCATTAGTGTCTAGATATGTTGCAAAGTCTTGAGCAAATGCTGTTATCGCAGCGTTTTCTGTGACCGCTGGAACCTAAATTTAGATGAAAAAAAATAACTTAGACGTTGCGTTCAAGTAGTCGACAAGTTCAAGGAAAGATTATTTGTACGTATACATATAGTACAATTATCTAAACAAATAAGTAAGTTACCGATTTAAGGTAGTATATGCAAGGAAACATATAATGATCTGAGTTAATATTGGTCCATAAAATAAAGATAAACAGATATCATTATAATTATCATTATTTTCATTATAATCATCATTATAATTATTAGTGGTGGTAGTAGTATTAGAAGTAATTGTGGTAGTCGTAACAGCAGCAGCAACAGCATTATATTATTATCATTATATCTCTACATATATACATGAATAAGAAATATACAAAAGCAAGTCCAGAAAACAATAACAAAATAAAAACAACAACAATCCAAAAATAAAAAGCATTGGATTAAAACCAATAAACAACAATGACAACGTGAAAAAGAATCTAACTCTTAATTCCAAGTTGTTTTATAAATACAAAAACAATATTTTAAGACTTGATGTAGTTGAAAAGGCTTACCCCATGAAGTGCTCTGTAATAGTTGTGCCTTTCAACAACAGCGTCTATGAACGCGTCAGCGTTGGCCTGCTTTAAACATTTAAGCAATCAAAATTAAAAATTCAACGCAAAACAAAAATAAAACATTAAGTAATCATTAAGTAATTCATTCATGACATGTCACATATCTCAGTTCTCAAGGGATATCACATGTTCCATATTTGACAAACAAATACGAAAAACTGATTTTTACCAACTTTAAAACTGACGGGATTACAACGCAGATTTATTCAAAAGTTTATGATTGATGCTGCTTAAAATGAAACCTTTGCAAACTCATGAATGAAATTTTAATGTTATGTAACTCTTTCATTAAACTGCTTCAAAAAGATCTAAAATAATATGTACAAAAACAACCCAGATATATTTTTAAAAAAGCAGGACACAATTTAAACTAAAACTAACACTTTAACCCTCGTTTCAACGTATGTAACTTTTGCACTGAAATGTAGCAACTACATCTACATGAAAAGTTTACCATTTTGGCCATAAACGACTAATCTACAAATAAAATTTAGTGAATACTTGCAAATATCAATTACTGATATGTAATAACCCAACTTTCTTTTTTTAATCTGTTGTTCACTAAGATGGAAAAGAATCCTTTAAAGAATACGATAACAACATCAACAAAAAACAACAAAATTTTAACATACCCCTTTTAAAGCAGCTACCAAACAGAGTGTCATGAAAACTTTCAGCATTTTGTCCGTGTAATTTTTTTTATCAACCTTTGGCGGAAATTCTCTGACAGAATTCAGTTTTGAAATGGGTGGTATCAATGTGAAGAACCAACAAAAAGGCTTGATATTTATAAGGATGATCTGTTTTTCAATCATGAAAATATGATGATTAAAATCAGATAACGTATTTTAATGACACACGTCAACACACAGGCATGCAATATAGTATGATGTTTTTGTTTTCGTAAACGAATGTTTTTGATTGTATATAAAGATTTATTTATTAAAGCTTGACGTTTATATGTTGTGAAAATAATTATTTTTTCACCACTCATGCCGTGTTTTTATATAAACAGCAATTCCATTTAGACATCGTATGAAATTATTTGTTTTATTCTAGGGGACCCCATCTAGGTTAAACATAATCTAGCCGTAAATATAATGAAGGTTAATGAGTTGTAGGGTACTTCAGTAGGAAAATAACTCTTTGCATTATTTAAACATAATTCCAAGGCAAAATTTATTAGTTTATTATCATTATCGTCTATCTATCTACTTGTTATTTTCGAATTAACGGATTTTTTGGATATTTCATGACATTTTTGACGACAGTATTTGACATAGGCCCGATTGAATTTTTTCATATGTCCGCTATACCACATAATTATTTACTTATGAATTAGTATTGTGATTTCATAGAAATATGCCTATTTGGATTCGTATGGTTGTAAGACCTTCCTTCAATAACCTGAGTTCAAACTGCAGTTTACTGGGTATTTAATAGACAAGTCTTGAATTATTTACAGCATTGAAACTGGGATAGTAATAAGATTCCGACATTACATATAATTATTTGTCTACATCTTCAATCATTGAAATGTCTAATATTTTAAACATGGGTATAAAGAAAATACCTGACATATTGTCACTGAAAAGAAATATAAATGTAATTGACAAGAACCTACACATTAGAGGTTGGGGTGGGTGAAAACAAATCTAGGAACTTACCTTTGACGAGAAAGAAAACAAGATATGACACAAATGTGTCATCACAATAGCTTGAAGAAATAACCAAGACATGCATTTGTGGACAATGAAAGGTGTCGCCTATGAACAGCACCAATAGGGAGTTTTAACCGGTAAATTGTGAACCAAATCGCTCTTAGCCCCAACGTGCTCCTTTAAAACGTTATAGTGTTAATAAAATGAATCACACCCAAGCGAAATTCTAACAGTTTTTATCATTTTTAAAGTGTTAAACCGAGATATAACCTAACCTTAAAAGCATGTAGGTGTTAGAGCCCTAATTGCATGGCATGTGGCTGTTTAAACAGTGAACCCTTTATAAATTTTATACACGACGCTTTTGATATATCACACCAATGGTGATTTTCAAGTTGGACATATGTTACATAATTTCTTAAATTTCAATGTCACAAACATTAAATATAGAAACTTTTTTATAGATACATAGATAAATAGAAGATTGCTTGCAGGTGAGTACATATTTTTCAGGCAGTGAATTTTCGGGATAAATAGCAGCTGTTTTTTGTGTTTTTTTTTTTCATTTTTTTTCATTTTTCTCATTTATATCTTTATTCAATTTACCACACGCGGTTAAGTATATGAATTAATGATGATAATAAAGAAAACAAAGTTGATGTACTCGACTGATAACGTTAGTTACTTTTATATGAATAAAACTTTTATTGAAATAATGAAATATAGCGTGCTATGATTCTCAACCTTCTAAATGTCCCTAAACAGATGTCAGCTGTAAAATATTAAGTTGTTATAAGAACGTGTCCATATATGTATTACTTATAATCAACTTAATTGCCTATAGACCCTTTGTGTAAGTTGCCATATGCATTTCAAAAATATGACAGTAAATGAAAATATCGTTTGAATTTAAAAAAACAAATTTACTTCTAAATGCTTGTATGAAATAAATATGGTAATTTATTGCCTTAAAAGTGTATGGCGTATGTACAAAATTATTGCTAAATGGATAAAATCCTACTTAATATTTCGTCCCGGAGCTTTATTCTGTTTACGTACATTGTTCATGTGTATATAATAGTAGAGAATTCTATATTACAACTTTTTTCGGGAATCAACTTTATAATAATGGAACCAATATAATTTTTACTGTTGATAAATCTAATTAAAATATTTCATAAGATATATATTTATACCCATAAATGTCTCACAAATTAATAAAAATATAAAAAGTTAAGTAAATATCTTAAATACAGCAGAGATAAAAAGCAAATAAAACGCAATTTCAACATCGTGTTTTTGACTGTTTACTATCGTGTTATCGAATCATCGCGTTTCAACCATTGCATTATCGTGCATTGCGGTTCAGGATGAGATACAAAAATCATTACTGTCCATGATAAATCAATTTAATATGGTGGGTGATTTGTGCCATGTCCATTTTCGCTCCGCAGAGCGCCAGACGAAAACACGAAACGCAAAGTGGTAACATTGTCGTGTTTTCTTGTTTGGCTGTCCGATCGCACAAGTGTATGTCAATTAATTTGAAGTAAACTAAGAAATTAAGATTAATTAAAAAATAAACAAACACTAAATAGTCAATCCATATTACAAACCTGAAGTGTGCGTATGCGACCCACGTCAAAAACCGTAAAATTTTATACAAACCTGACGCATTATCTATTTATTAAGGTAATTAAAGTAATGACAGATGACTTTTAAAAATATGTCGGAACATTGACATTTACTGGATGTCTGACGCAGTGTGGCATAATTTCAATGAATTCACAAGACACATATCATTACAATACTTTTTTTATCTGATACCGTGCTCATAAAAGAACAATTTAAATGGCTGCAGTTGATACCGGCGCGGCTCAGCATATGAATATCATTTGCTACTTTAGTGCAGGATGCCACCTTTTGCTATTTTTAAAAAAAAGTAAACATGCGGAAAAGTATCAGAATCTGTCGTTACAAATATTTCAATATAGCAATACAAATGAGAAACCTATAGTTTCTATAATCATATGTAAATTGCTGAATTTGATTTTTTTTTATTGCAAACCCCAAAACGCGACAACCAGTCTGAAATATGGTGTATGTTCCCGATTGGTTGGAGCACCACAGACACAGACAAAAGATTGCAGCTGCAACAAGTTATGACACGCTAAAGTTTTACGCTAACCGTCAATTTATTAGGATCTTTAATTATGTACATAACAAATGATGGATTTTAAAATTTATTATAATGAAAATGATTCTGTAGTATTCTCTCTTGTATCATAGTTTGAGGGTCATTTTTTGAAAATGTGTCAGAAATAAATCGTATACACATACATGCACATTGTGTTAACTTGATTGCAGGTATAAGTTAACCGCACTCCAGAGCATACTAATTTATTTGCTCATTTTTTCTGGGGTTAACCTAATGTGACGACAGAGAAAGGGATTACAATAGAAATGTCATATTAAGATGCTCTTTCACTGGTTACCTTTTCTGGGGTTTGAAATTGTGATAACAAGGAACGTGTTTTTAGTTTTGCCTATAATACAGAAGAGAAAGAACATCAAAATGCTCGACAATCTGTTTATTCTCGGGGGGCTACGCCCCTCGTTCGAATCAGATAGCCTTGTGTTTTGATGCTCTTTCCAATACTTGGACATGAAATCGATAAAAATAACAATAATTGCGTTACAGGAAATAGTTTATATTGGCTTTGCCTCATAACACCAAATCACATTTAGGAAAATTGATTAAAACTTTTTAAAACACGCAATAAAATAAACTGATATATAGCAGGTGCGAAATTACCCCAACTCAACTGTTATATATCAGTTGGGTTGTTTTCTTATATAAATCAAGGAAAGAAAAACAGCACTATTACATATCAATACAGTTTCCAAATGCCCATTGAAAGTGTACTGATTATAATGGGTTAAAAAAACAAAGGACAACTTCCAAACCATGTGATAAGCACTTATTAATCTCTAAAACCATTATCTAAAACTGTCTTTTTTGTCCTTTCCAAAGAAGGAAAACAAAACTTTTTTCTGAGGCATAAAATGCATTTGACTGCCCTCTTTGCTTCAGCAGTCTTTAAATATAAAAGAAATGATACGAATGTCCAATGAAAATCGCCTATAACAAAAGTATTGGCTGACAAAGAGAAACCTTTTGTATGAACGAAATATTTTCCACCATCGTACTTTTATAAATTTCACAATTGTACCTTTGAGTTTTCACCATTGTATTTTGCCGCCCTGTTAAGCAGGCACACTAAATGTCAATCTATATCAGATGTCATCCGATTCAGAAGCATGTGTATGTAAAGGGTTTTATACCGCTGATACGATGGTGAGAATATGAAACTATGATGATAAAAGTCAAAGCCATGACGGTGAAAAGTAAAAACCAAGTTAATAATGAAAGGTTGGAAGTACAATGGTGAAATCATTAAATAATATGAGTTTTCACTCCCGTGGTTTTATTATTTCGACATTTAACCGTTTGACATTCGACTTTTCAACATCACACCTTTACCTTTTCACCATTGTGGTTTCGTTTTTTAAGACATTTCAACATCGATGTTTCATGTTTTGTTGTTTCGAGGTATATGTCTGTCGAGACAATTGGTGCACAGTTTCTAAAAATAGTTTGGCAAATTAAAAGTTGATTGCCTCAAATATATATTAGATATAATACTTTGTCTTGCTGCACAATTCAAAGAGGCAACGTTTAATAAAATGAAACTAAAAAGAACTAAAATTTATTGATATTGTCCCATAATTTTTTTGCGCTAGTGTGATAAACTATGATATTCATCAAACAAACAAGTGATTAAGAAGAATTTCAAAGAAATCAATTAAGTCATTTGAAAGAATAAAACATAACATTCCCCGCTCTGAGCAAATAAAAGAACAAAAAGTAATGAAGTAAAATTTTCAGCACCTTGATGGTGTTGATGGTTTTTGAAAGCCCTTTATTTAATACGTGGCAATGTAGTCCTATTCGATACACATTAGTTGTACATATATTATATGACTGTCTGTCTGTCTGATCAATAACAAGTTTAGTTGTACATATCGTCGTCA